ACAAAGAAAGGTTGATTTCATTTCAGTCTTCCTCTCTTTGCCAGCTCAGCAAACCTTATCTTTTAATAAGGCTTAATTAATTTATCTTTTCATGCATGGGGGTCATCAGTCATGCATGCATGCATACATACCATATTTAGTACAACCAGCGTGAGGAAGAGTTCTGTAGTTCTGTGTTCATAAACAGTTGGTAATGTCATTTCATGCATGAAATGTTTCGGAGTTAAGTGGACATGTAACATGTTAGGATAATTTTTTATATTGGATATTTAGAAAAAACACGTGGATTAATTTAAACTATATGACCTAAAAGAGTTGATTTTCTTGATGATTCTAATAATGTACATTACATCTTAGATCCATCAAATCATGTATTAAATATTATTTTCTATAACAAAAAGTTTTCTCTACCATGGACTTTAATGGGTTTGTAGACGTAAAATAGTAATAGTATGCATAATTGTACCGTTCAAAATACAACCTGTTTATGACTTATGGCTCCGTTTGGTTTATTATTGGGAAGTTTTTAGAATAATTTTTAAAAAAAAAGTTAAATTGGTGGGTATTACAATATAGAATTTTTAAAAGTAACATAAATAGCCATATATTTATTTATTTATTAAACACTCCTATAATAAAATATTCAAAGTTAGCAAAAACACCTCCAATTTACTCATAAATACGGATAATCGGTCACCACTGTCGGAGGGTGGTTGGAGTTGCCTTATCAGCGCATGACTAGCTTGATCTCGCTGGTCGTGCGCCGATAGGTGGATCTGGCCAAAAAAAGCTAGATCTGCGGTTAGATCTGGTCATTGACGGCAAAATCTGGTTGCATTTGGTCGTCAACGACGATCAAAGATACGGTCATCATTGACTGTCTATGTCCAGATCTTTAGCTGTAGATCTGGCCGGAAAAGATTAGATCGGCGCACTACCGGCTATTACACCAGATTCCGGCCAGCCTTCGATAGTGGTGGCCGGAATCTGGTAAATTGGGGTGTTTTTGTCAATTTTTTAAAAAAAATTTAGGGGTTGTTTAATTAAATTAACAAATATAGGGGGATTAAAAGAAATTAAATAATTTAGAAAACTATTTTCAAAATAGGTGAAATAAAGTTAACCTTTTTTGGAAAACTAGAATAATTTTCCCCATATGTGAACCAAAGGGAGCCTTAATTGATATGTATCATTTATACATGTATAAAACTTGGAGTGAGATGAATGAAAATTAAAAATGAATTAACCAAAATCAAATTAGATGAAATGGGCATCAACTTATTAAATACAATTTGTTTATGACTTATATAATTGATATAGTCTTTCTGAGTTTGAATTTCTACAACTACTAATAAAAATGGTCATTGGAGTTTTTACTACGCCAATAGTTTCATAAAGCCAATAAGGCGTTGTCTGAACACCTTGTCTTAAAAAAAAAAAAAAAAAAAAGATAAATTGGTCCATACACTAGTTATAAATTCGCGTATTATTGTATTTTATCAGCCCAATCATATTATTCGAGAATTATTCCCGTATTCAAATTTTTACAAATATATTTTTCACTGTTACCGTATCATACCAATAAAATTTCTGTACTTTTTTTTTTACCGTACCCATATATTTGAAATACTATATAGATTTTAACCAAATGGCCAATGAAAAGTACTAAAACTAAGATTAATATTACTGTATTTTTCAAAACGTATTATTAAAATATACCATATTAAACTCTTATATATCCATATCATATTTTTTCCGTATCTGAATTTTATGATGTAATTTTTACAAACATATTTTTTATTATCATGTCCATAAAATTTTCATTTTCATACCATTTTTTGTCGTACAAGTATTTACTAAGTGGACCGTACCTACAGTGGACATATCTTTGTCTTTCAACTTCGGTGAAGCTTTCGAAGACTGACTTAGTGGATGTGACTTATAATTGAAAGAAAGAAAACATATCTAAAGCCCAAAAAGTAACACAAATACACCAATCTTAATGGGCTAACCTCCGTCGACCCATATACCCCAACCCAACTAAACAATCTTGGCCCTCCGGGTTAGACCTCCCTCCCTCTTTACAAAATGGTTATTGTCATTTAGATGAAACAAGTTTCTTAAATTTACCCTTAAAGGATGCAAGTTTCAAAAACAACAAATAAGAGACAATGCGCTATAATACATGGTCAAACTAAGGTGTTATTAATGTAATTTACTCAAAAGGAAAATTTTAAAACTAAAAAAAAAATGAAAAACCANATCCATGTTAGACCCCTTTGTTCTTTTACCATATCATCAAGCCACCCAACATGTTGTATACCGTATGATTTAACAAACATGTATAAGTTGGTATGCAGTTTAACATCACTCAAACAAATTTACTATTGATTCGTTGATCAAATTTAGTACAAACCACATCTTCATTTGTTTTTCAAAGGCAAATTGGAGAGAGTCAGCAAGTTGTAGAATTGAGTTCCATAATTTTTTAAGTCAAGCTGTGGAGAAGGTTGGAATTTTATCTTCAAGCTTAAGGGAGACAATTCTTTTACCTTCAACCTTACTGTAGACGGTAAATATTTACAGTTATGGAACGGAATGATCCTATAAGGTTGATTTCACTGACGATCTACTGAATCTGCATGCATAAAGAAACAAGCCCAAAGCTACAACGGTGTAGTGTCTGCGTAGGCACTCCGGCGTTCAAGTTAGTAAGGCTGAAAGATGCTATTTAGTGAGGGCTAAGGGGAGGAAGGGTCACTAGAGTCTAATAGGAGATTAGAGCTATAGCGAAGGTGCTAATTCTTAGGAATAAGAACTTTTAGGAACTAGTAGGTGGTATTGAATAATCTCTCCTAATGAGAGGTCAGGACTCTGTTTATATAGTGAATATAGGATCTTTGAATCCTAGTAAAACTCTAAGTTCATAGTGGCAGAGTTCCAGTAAATAGGAAAGTCCTGGAGTAAGAGTCTTAATTCATATGAGACTTGAGATCTTGGATGAATTAGTATGAAGGTAGAATTCTAGGGAGAATTTAGGATAGTGATGAAACATGAAGTAGATGATTTAGGATTTAAGTAGGACCCTTTAAATTTGTCATAGGACAATGGGCCTAAGCCTAAGTGGGCTAATGATGAGGCCCAATCTTGGTGATCCAACCCATGAGAAGCTTGGTCGATATGATGGGTTGGCCCCTAAAACCGTTATAATGCAATGGACCGCGTAAAACCGTTTAAAAACTGGATACTTTTAGCGAACCGCCAGTCCAACCGGACCAACTGATAAACCGGTCCAATTAAAAATCCCTAAACCTAATACACGTAGCCTTCTCATCGCGTTCAGTTCATCTCTTTCAGTGTTTCTCAGTTTCTTACAAAAATTTCTTAGCTTCTTCTCTCTTCTCTACAAAAATTTATTAGCTTCGTCTCTGTTGTCTGTTCTCTGTGAAGATTTCTCTCTGAAATCCCACCCAAATCGCATCTGAACTATCTGAAATCGACGACGAAATCTTCCTCTCTTGCCGGAAATTAACGACGTCTTCCTCCCTCGTCGGAAATCGACGACGTCTTCCTCCCTCCCTGGAAATCGACGATGACAACTCCGTTCTTCGCTGGAAATTGACGGCGACAGCTCCATTCGTTGACGACAACTCCATTCTTCAATCCAAGTAATAAACACGCCATTCTTCGATCCAGCTTCAATAATCAATAATTTCAATTTCATTTTTGTAGCAATGTCATCCTACAAATATTCAGGAGGTCCTATATAGGATCTGTGAACAAACGAGCAGTCTATGGACCGTGTACTTCATCCTTTTGATTTTTATGCATCATATATGCCTCTGATGATTAATACATAATGTGGTATCAAATGAGTGTAGCATTATTTGTCAACTGGTATCTGGAATATTTATTTTAACACATTCAAGTGGCATTTTGCGTTATATGTGTAGGGATGTTTTAAGCTCATGTTGAATTTTTTACCCTGCTATTTATCATATGCATTATCACAGTGACGATTGTCTTGATTATAGCTCATGTTGAATTTTTTACCCTGCTATTTATCATATGTATTATCACATGGCATCGGGTTCCTCTCCTTTTTGGGATAAAAAAATTAAAAAGTGGTTTCTTTTGATGTTTCCTTGATATCAGGTTAATTGAGTGACTTCCTGCTCCTGGTATGCTGTTGGTCTTCAAGGAGATAACCAGTTTTGCAAACTGAAGTAATCTGCAGAAAATTCTATCAATGTTTTTTTTAATTTATTTATCTTGTTCTCTGTTCTTCATCTGTAGTTTTCATTAATTACTTATTTTTGTATCTTACTAGTTAGAGTTAATATAGTAATGCAATATGTTACTTTCAAGAACTACCAGTTATCAACTGTAGCTACAAATTTTTACATGTATGTTACTTTATGGCTATCAGTAGCTTAGTTGAACATCTGGTCCTATCTAAGAATGTGAAGAATAGCTTATAATCCCTTTACATTTTTACATGATGTGTGATGACATCATCGGTCCAACCGACGGTCCAACCGTTATCCGGCCATCAGAGCGGGTTGCCCACCAGTCCGGTTTTTAAAACAATGGTTAGCCCATGGCTTGTATCTTTAGAGTAGGCCCAATTGGAATTGGCTATGGTATTGGGCCAAGTGGTAGATATTTTAGTGACGTTTTTTGGCCCATACACTTACTAATCATTATATTAATTGCCCTACATCCAAATTTATGTGTCTCAAACTTTAGGAAAGAATAAAAACAAAACAACTACTTTGGGTGGGAGTGGTTTGATAGGAACTCTTAGGTGTATCACTCAAAATGTCCTCTTCGGTTGCCAATAAGGGCAATTACCAGAACTTTTATACAATTGATAGTTTCAGGTTCTTAGGAAAGTAGTTGAGGTGCGTGTAAACTGGCCCGAGCATCCTCGATTTTAAAAAAAAAAAAATTCACACAANTATCTAAGATTGTGAAGAATAGATGTTAGAATTGTGTTCTGGAAGAAACTGGGTGGACTAAGAATTAGCACAGCTAGTTGATTTTAGACATTTTAAGTAGATTGATGAAGAGAACCTTGCTTTCTTAAGAAATTGTTCAATGTTGCTGAAAAATCAAATGGTTTAATGATTTACTAATTTCTTCTTCATCAACTTGAATTGGGTGAGTCTTGGCTAGTTTTTTCAGGGTTGTGATTTTTTAAGTTATTTGGGCTGGAGTGTGGTGCAGATTTATGGTTGAATGACCTGTATAGTCTTTGTCTCCCTTCACTGAGACATTTGTTTATGTTCTCATAGACCTCTGATTAACTTGCAGTATCTCTTTTTTTGTTTAACATAATTTCAATGTTTCACATGAGAAAAAAAGTTATATAACATTTTGAAGGTACTTTTGTATCTTTTTTAAATAAGATCACGCAATTTCAGTCTCTCTGTTCTAGAAAAATATTTTGCATGAACCAATCCAAATGTTTGTGGGACCCTCTTCTCTTTTCCGTTTTGACAGGTACATTTATCTTGTAACTTATAAAGCACCGGCATTAGACTGTAAGGTCTGATTGTAAAATTTTATCTTACGAGGAAAAATTCAGAAGTTTACAAATAACAGTTATAATTTTTAGATACTGTAGGATCTTACTGAAGGTTCCTTTGTTATCTCTTTGTATGTCTCACGCTTTTCTTTTTTAATGCTTCTTAAGTGAACTAATCTTGCAAACTGTTGCACGACTTCATGTGATTTAATATCTGAAGTTTATTGGGGTAACAGGGGTGGTCGTGTGAGATGGGATGAGGATAATCTGGGGGAAATTGAAGCAAATAAACCCGTAAGGCAGAAAATTACTGAACCCAAGACACCATATCACCCCAGGATTAATGATGATGGTATGATAATTCTGTTTCTATTTTATATTATTTTTTAATTTTTATTTTGCAGAAGCCAATCTAATTGTATGTGTTTGTAACTATTAAAAGAGAAATTTGTTTGTCTACTTATTACTTGCTAAAATGTGTATTGGTTGAGAAGGGAGTTGTCGGGTTTTGTTTCATTTATTACTTCCAAAATTTGGTACAAAAATCAATTGTTATCGTACTTGTTACTGGGTAATACCTTTCACTTAATTTTTTGTCTTGGTGGTTTGATATAGATAGCTGGTTATTCCATTGTTAGGCCCAATTTATTGAATGTTGTTATGAAAACTGAGTAGTATTTCTCATCAATTATCTGAATTTTGTTGATTACTATAGGTTCTCTGTCGCCTATTCGGGGCAGCTTTAATGAATGTATTGACTCTGTTACTGATGCAATGGATGCTGAAGAATTACGGACTGCTTTGAATGATGTTGCTTCTTCTAGTAAACAAACCAGTGGCCCATCCGGCTGGTCATCATCAGAGGATGAGGCAGATCCTATGGAACAAGATGAAGAAGGTTTTTCCACATTTACTGTTGCATTTTAAGTTAGCCTTGTTCTTTAGCATATTGAACATTGATTTTGATTGCATTAGGTAATTGCTGCAACTGACTTCTTTGTTTTTTTTCATGGTTTCATTTATAAGATTAATCTCTGAAATAAATTAAGTGAAGATAACCACATCCAAATGAGATATCATTACATTTAGCTGCTGTATTGTGTTTTAGTTTGATTACAGAAGTAAATTCCATGTTCAATGAATGTAAAAATTGGCTGTCAGCTAATATCAGTTGCATTAGGGGTGAAGTTATATATGGCTGGAAAACTTAATTTGGTTCCTATATTGTTTATTTATTATTTGTCTGGTAGACATTTAGTGTTGAACACTTATGAATGTTTTCAACAGTGAATAATAAAGCTATTTTTCCTAAAGTTTTCTTCAAAAATATTTGTTTGTTTGAAATTTTTAAATGACAATTTGTATTGGCTTTCAAAGGGAGACCACCTTTTCCTTTTCTCTCATTTGCTTTGTTATTTCAACTGTTTTGCACTTTGTGACTCTGTTTGTAAGGTATGCCTGACATGTCTTATTGCTTGCTGTGTTAGATTCTGAAATGGGTAGGAGTTTGAGTTTTAAGGAGCACAGAAAAGCACACTATGACGAATATCTGACAGTAAAAGAACTCCGGCGTAATGGTTCTGTGCTTGATGATGTAGACGAGGATGAGGGTGAGAAGCAAAATGATGGAAGATCTGCTTCAACTTCATCAGTAAGTGCTGGTGTTAAGTGTATAGACATCGAGGGGGAGACTGCAAATCTGCCCCAACAATCTTCAGCACCACCAACTAATGGAGCTTAGTAGCCGCCATCTGGCCAATGTGAGATGTAAAGTGACTATTTTGGCATCTTTGCTTACAACATATCTCCGTGTATGTTTACTAACAATGAAGTACGTGACTCCTTTTCATCTTCGTGTTTCCCTGTATTTTGCTTGGAAATAGTGTTTTCATATTATGGCAGGGTCGTGGTAAAATCCTCCACCACGGGACATTGATTGCTTATAGCTACCAAATAAGCAGATTTAATCTTAAATTCTTGCATGGTGATTTCTCTGATGGGTTTCCTTCGCTGCTTTAAGAATCTTTTCACTGGAAGATTGAACTTTGTTTGTTCACGGGTAACAATAGAATGGTGTACGATAACTTGGTATTCTTATTGCGTCTAAAGTTCCCATAGCTAAAACAAAGGGATCCTTTGTAAATCATCCAGATGAGATTTTTGTTTGTTTGTTTGATTGATTTTTTTTTTCCTTGTTCCGTATGGTTGTGGGTCAAACATAAATTGTGAACCAAAAACCTCCAATTTCATCACTCAGGATAAAGCCGTCGATATATATTAAACTAAAAGCCAGAAACTGCAAACACGAACAGAAGAGAGGAAAGTCTCCAAATGGCCACACAAAACACATCAATGTCGGCTCTGGCCTCCCAAATATGCAACCAAATAGCGTTAATCTTCTCCAAGCCCACCGGCCTACACCCTCCACCACTAGATCTCATGGTGGCCGAACTGACCAACATAGCCACCCAAAACGGCCGTGTCTTCCTCTACGGAGTAGGTCGGGAAGGCCTCATGCTTAAGGCACTATGCATGCGCTTAGCTCACCTGGGTCTCTCTGCCCACTTCGTTTTCGACATGACTACTCCCCCTATCTCCGCTTCCGACCTCCTTATCGCCTCTGCTGGGCCCGGAGGATTCTCCACCGTTGATGCCATATGCTCCGTGGCACGAACCCATGGTGCCAGAGTTTTGCTGCTGACAGCTCAGCCTGAGAGTGGATCTTGTGTGAAGCATGCTAGTGTTGTGGGTTATGTGGCTGCGCAAACAATGGCAGATGATGGTGGTGAAGAAGAAAGAGAGAAATCTCGGCCTTTGATGCCGATGGGGAGTGTGTATGAAGGAGCCATGTTTGTGTTGTTTGAGATGGTGGTTTATAAGTTGGGTGAAGTGTTGGGACAAAGCCCAGAGACCGTCCGATCTCGCCATACCAATCTGGAATGAGCGTGTTATCCATAGTTAATCACCGTCGCTGTACTGATAGTTTGATAGTTGTCCAGTTTGTGCTTGGCTTTTTCACCAAGTTTTCTACTGTAATTTCCTTTCATTGTAATGCATGCTTTATATCTCCTCATTGGCTCTTGGAAGTAGTAATATTCAGGATAGTCTTTTTGGCAAACAATAAACAATGTCAGTAGGAGTAGCAGTCCCAATGGCTAACTCGACGGCTGGACCGTGGGTCCATCAAAACACAACCATGAGTGATAAGCCCAGACCCAGGTGAAGCTAAATTGTGGAGTATCCATAGCATTCTCACACCAAAATTAAATTAATTTTTTTAGGCACTTTCAAAACAATGTAAATTAAAAATTACAGAAATTATTGACCGTATTCTCAATGGAATCAAATAATATCCCATAGCATTAAATGTCAATTAAAATAAGTGTTTCTTAATGTGACTAAAAGTCGTAATATATATATCACATGCTTCATAAAATATTTAGAGTAAATCTTTTTCCCACCCAAGGTTTGGCGAATCTCCAAGTTTCCACCCTTGGTTTCATAAATTGCATATTCCCACCCTTAAATTAATAGATAACTATTTAATCTAACAGTTAATAGGGTAAAATTATCATTTCAAAATAACCCTTCACTTCTCCAACTCAACCCCACTGAAAAATTTTAAAATAACCCTTCTGATGCTAAAAAAACCAAGAGAGAGATAACTAAACGTAGAAAAAACAAGAATTCGATAAACCACTACCGAATTGTATCAAGATTCGGATACTGGATTGGATTATACAACCACAAAAGGTTCTCAATCATTCATTCAAATAATATAATCAACTCCCTTTTCAAGGTTACAAAGACTCTTATTTATACTATAATTATCCTTAACTCACTAAGAAATGAATAAACCTAATTGGAAACAAACCTTATACTAATATGGAAAATACCTAAAACAAGAAATTTAATTTAATTAGGACTATTATAAAATAGAAAAACCTAAATATAAGGAAATAATAAAATTTATTTCCTAAAGAATTTTAACAATATATTTTTTGCATCACCTTCGCTTCTCTAATTCACCTCACCGACAATTTCAGACCATTCTGGCTTGTTTTTGGCATAGTCGACCCCTCCTGACACCACCATTACAATCCCCTCAACCCTCACATATAAAACCCTAACCTCCCTGCCTGATTGAACCCTCTAATCACTGGCCGTCGCTTTTAGTGTCAATTGGTATTTCATCCAAATTTTGCAAGTCTCGACACTAAAAACCACCCCAAGGCCATCAATAGCATCGCCAGCTTCCCGTCACCAAAACCTCCAACATTGCCAACTGCAATTGCCCCCAAATCGCCCAAACCAGGTGAAGCTAAATTGTGGAGTATCCATAGCATTCTCACACCAAAATTAAATTAATTTTTTTAGGCACTTTCAAGACAATGTAAATTAAAAATTACAGAAATTATTGACCATATCCTCAATGGAATCAAATAATATCCCATAGCATTAAATGTCAATTAAAATCAGTGTTTCTTGATGTGACTAAAAGTCGTAATATATATCACATGTTTCATAAAATATTTAGAGTAAACAACTTTTCCCACCCAAGTTTGACGAATCTACAAGTGTCCACCCCTAGTTTCATAAATTACAGATTCCCACCCTTAAATTAATAAATAATTTTTTAATCTAACAGTTAAAAGGGTAAAATGATCATTTTAAAGATGAAAATTTCAAAATAATCCTTCACTTCTCAAATTCATCTCACTGGAAAATTTTAAAATAACCTTTCGCTTATCTAATTCACCTTACCGACGATTTCAGGTCATTCGGCATGTTTTCGACACAATCGACCCCTCCTAACACCACCATTATAATCCCCTCAACCCCCACATCAAAAACCCTAACCTTCCCGCCTGATTGAACCCCCTAATCTTCAGCCGTCATTTTTAGTGTCAATCGACATTTCATCAAAATTCTGGCAAGTCCCGACACCGAAAACCACCTCCAAGACCACCAATAGCATCGTTGGCTTCCCCCCACCAAAACCTGTAACATTGTCGATTGCAATTGCCCCCCGATCGTCATTGCCTCTCCCTTAGGTTTTTGCATTTTTTCACCCGTTTCCAGCCAAAATTTGGCACCTCGCCGACGTGCAATCGGGTGGAAAAGTTAGGGGTTTTGGTGAAGGGGATGAGGGGATGTTGATGCTAGTGTTGTGGAGATTCAATGGTGTCAGAATCAGGCTGGATTCTTGGCTTGGCCAGGATCCTATGAGGGTTATTTGAGAGAAATTTGAGATATAGAGGTTATTTTAAGAAAAAAATAATGACGCCAATTTAAGGATGGAAATGTTCAAGAAACTCTTTAATACTTTTGGGTCCACTAAATATTTTTATCAAACCTCAAGGATAAAACTGTATTTGACCCCTCCTGTCTCAGAATTCTTGTGGGCAAGCTCATCCAACTTATCCAAGAAAGCACAATCTGAAAATGACATGGATAGAAAAGTAATTACAGATCACCAACAAAAAAAGATCAAACCGGTAACAGGAATATAGGATAACAAAACAGTCAGCATCTCATAAATCTCGGACAGATTTTTTGTTCTTTTTTTTTTTTTTTAATTTAATTGGTATTTAATTTAATCGTCATTTTAAAGAGAGGTCCCAAAAAATATCTAACCAACCTTCAAAATTTAGTCTATAAGAACCCAGATATTTTCACCCGCTTTATCTAGAATCTATACCCGCACGAGTATGGGAGAATTTATGTACTCGCTGTGAAGAATATGATGCGGGTGCAAATATATATAATTTTTTTCTGATTAGAGTGATTGATTAAATTTATATACATCTTAATTAATATTTAAAAATTTTATGATTATCGATCTAATAAAAATTTTAATGACCACCCTTATTAACAGTTACGGATTATTTGCCTTCAATTTTACTTTTTATTTTTCTTATTTTTTGGTTCTTTTTTAGATTTATTGCTCATACAATTTTTTTTTTAATGTTTTCTTTTCTATATTCAACTCTTGAAGCTTATATTCTTTTTTTTTTCCCCTTTAATAATGGGAATAAAACGGTGTTGACTAAGACAAGAGTACATTTATTAAATGGGTTTTTGTGTGTCATATTTTAAAATTTATATTTAAAAATCTCAATTAATTGAAGTATTTTCTATTTAAAAAAAATCCGAAGATNATGGTGGAAATTGACTGTAGGGGAGGTGTTTGTGTAATATGGGATAGTTTTGGACCAAATGGAATATTAGATATTTCATGAGAGGAAAATGGCTTTAATCCCAAAATAAAATATGCCAAACAGCTTCCATAAATGACTTCTCCATATTTAATTTTAAAATTAATTAACTTACATAATTGACTTTCTCTAATTTTATTTAATTAATCATCAAATAAAAAAACTACAAAATAAAATAAAATATTATTATAATCATTTTAAAATATTATTTTCAAACAAACATATATAGGAGACTTATATTCTATTTTCTCAGTTTCAAAATATTATTTCATAACCAACAATGGGTTGACTGAGTGGTGGGTTTGCTCTCTCTCTGATCTCAAGTTCGAATCACAAGATCAAGTTCGAATCACAAGAATGACTGCTAATATTGTCGGTCCTAGACTGCAGGATTTACCTTGTTTCGGAAGCCTTGTTCGAGGTCGAAACACTAGTCGAGATACGCGTAAGTTGGCCCAAACTTCCCGCGTATATATATATATATTATTTCATGACGATTTTTATCCTTGGGATAAAGAAATGACTGCAGCTAACTTCAAGACCCATTTTTTACATCAGAACTCAATTAATATCTCGAGTAGTTGTATTGAATGAATGAAAGTAGAATGTCTTTTATACAGTACTGTTACGTATATAAACAACTCTTATATGTATAAACTGATGTTCTAGAAAATGAATAAAAAAGTAGATATAAAAAGTCAAACTCATAATATTTACTCTTTTGTTTATTTTCTATCATATAGTTTGTAACATTATTGTTTTCTTTATTGACCGTCCAAGTAAATAGAAAGTAAGTAGCTACCTGGATCGATGTTTGATGAAGAAACTAAAGATGTGTACATCCCCTCAGGTGGTCCCACAGCTTGGGAACAGAAGAGATGACGAAGACGAGAGTGGGGCCTCTAATGTACACGTGGCGCCTTCAAACTGAGAAAGATTATCTAGGGTTCTGATGATGATGATGATGGTGGTGGTGGTGGTGGTGGTGGTGGTGGAGGATGGATTCATTTCTTTATTCTTTTGCTTTGTCTTTGCTTTTGAGTGTGGTTATGGTGTAAGTACAGTAGTAGCAGTTGTAGTAAATCAAGTGAAGATTAAGAGATGTACTTAAAACTTGTTTCGTTAGTTTTTATTGCTTGATTGAGATATTTTATGTGGTTTGTTACAGTACTTGCAATGTTGATTGCCATTCATAATAAAAACGAAAGATGATAGGAATAGGATGAATGATGGATTGAGATATAAAGAGGAAATGGTTGGGGTGGAACGGAGACAGGGACAAAGAAAGGTTGATTTCATTTCAGTCTTCCTCTCTTTGCCAGCTCAGCAAACCTTATCTTTTAATAAGGCTTAATTAATTTATCTTTTCATGCATGGGGGTCATCAGTCATGCATGCATGCATACATACCATATTTAGTACAACCAGCGTGAGGAAGAGTTCTGTAGTTCTGTGTTCATAAACAGTTGGTAATTTCATTTCATGCATGAAATGTTTCGGAGTTCAGTGGACATGTAACATGTTAGGATAACTTTTTATATTGGATATTTAGGAAAAACCACGTGGATTAATTTAAACTATATGACCTAAAAGAGTTGATTTTCTTGATCATTCTAATAATGTACACAACTTAGATCCATCAAATCATGTATTAAATATTATTTTCTCTACCATGGGCTTTAATGGGTGGGTAGATGTAAAATAGTAATGGCCATGTTTGGCTTATTATTTTTATCCATATTTCCAATCTTATTCTCCAAATAATATTTAGCATATTATTTTAGAAATATTATCTTATTTTTTTAATTATTTTTAGACCTCATAAGATTATTAATTTCATCAAATACATCCTGAAAAAAAGTTTAAAAATTATCAAAAATACTCTCGTGACCCATACTTGTCAGATTCCGGCAACCATCGTCTGTACAACGGCTTACTTGCCGACCAGAAATAGTCAGAAGCTCACTGATCGTGAACAACGGTCAAAGAAATGGCCGTCGTTGAAGTCAACAACAGCAATATTTGTAGCCATAGCTGACGGCCAAAGATGGCTGTCGTTTTGGCCTTTTCTGGTCGTCGCGGCCACAATAGGCCGTAGATCTAACCTTTTCCGGCCAGATCCGTGGTGGATCTGGTCGGAAAAGACCATAACGACGCATCATGACTAGGGGTGTTCAAAAAAATGCAAAAACCGAACCGAACCGAAAAACCGGTTAACCAAAAAAACGGTTCGGTTACGGTTCAAAAAATTCAAAAAATCGAATTTTCGGTTTGGTTACCGGTTTGGGAAAAATTAGAAACGGTTAACCGAAAACCGGTTTTTTAAACCAGTTTTTCAACTATATATATATTAAATAAATAAATAATAACCTAAACTAAAATAAATCCCTAATTCACTCAATCTAAAATCCCAACCCAAATTTTTTGTCTTAGTTTCCAATGTATTGTCTATATTTACAATTTAATTTAGGACAAAAAAAAAAAGTTTTATCAAAAAAAAAAGGGAAAACCGGTCCAAAACTGGTTAACCGCTTTTTTTTAAACGGTTAACCGGTTTTTCGGTTAATCAAAAAACCGGTTTTCCCTAAAACCGGTTTTCTAAACCAGTTTTTCAAATATATATATATATATAAATAATAACCTAAACTAAAATAAATCCCTAATTCACTCAATCTAAAATCCCGACCCAAATTTTTTTTCTTAGTTTCCAATGTATTGTCTATATTTACAATTTAATTTAGGACAAAAAAAAAAGTTTTATCAAAAAAAAAAGGGAAAACCTGTCCAAAACTGGTTAACCGCTTTTTTTTAAACGGTTAACCGGTTTTTCGGTTAACCAAAAAACCGGTTTTCCCTAAAACCGGTTTTCTAAACCAGTTTTTCAAATATATATATATATAAATAATAACCTAAACTAAAATAAATCCCTAATTCACTCAATCTAAAATCCCGACCCAAATTGTTTTTCTTAGTTTCCAATGTATTGTCTATATTTACAATTTAATTTAGGACAAAAAAAAGTTTTATAAAAAAAAAAAGGGAAAACCGGTCCAAAACTGGTTAACCGCTTTTTTTTAAACGGTTAACCGGTTTTTCGGTTAACCAAAAAACCGGTTTTCCCTAAAACCGGTTCGGTTTCGGTTCGAGAATTTCCCCGAACCGAAAATCCGGTTCGGTTTAGAAAAGCGGTTAATCGGTTCGGTTAATCGCTTTTGAACACCTCTAGTTATGACACAGATTCGACCGGTCTGTATCGTAACACGATTTTTCGGTCAGATTCTAGCGGTGGTGGCCGGAATTTGGCACTGCAACTGGTGGAAGTGTTTTTGTCATTTTATATATTAGGGTATTTAATTAAATTAGCAAACCTAGGGGTTTTTTCATAAATTTTTAAATTTTACCTCCTAATACTCCCTTATCCAACTATCCAATATTATTCTCAAAATCTTATCCAAAATAATAAACCAAACGCATTCAATAGTATGCATAATTGTACGGTTCAAAATACAATCTGTTTATGACTTATATAATTGATACGTGTCATTTATGCACGTATAAAACTTGGAGTGAGATGAAATTAGATGAAATGGGCATCAACTTATTAAATACAATTTGTTTATGACTTATATAATTGATATGGTTTTTTGAATTTGAATTTCTACTACTACTAATTAAAATGGTTATTGGAGTTTTTACTATGTCAATAGTTTCAAAAAACCAATGAGGCGCTTTTTGAACACTTTATCTTAAAAAAAAAAAAAAAAAATAGATAAATTGGTCTCTACCCCTACTTAGTAAATTCCGCGCATTATTCATGAATTATACGTCCAACTGTATAATTCGCATATTATTCGCGAACTACCGTATTTTATCAGCCCAATCGTATTATTCTCGTATCTGAATTTTTATCAAATTTTTACAAATATATTTTTCACCGTTTATCATATTATACCCATAAAATTTCTATACTTTTTTTTGTCGTACCTGTATATTTGAAATGCTATATAGATTTTAACCAAATGACCCATAAAAAGTGCTAAAACTAAGATTGATATTATCGTATCCTTTAAAACGTATTATTAACAATATACCATATATACTCATACCATATTTTATTCATATATGAATTTTATGACATAATCTTTATAAATATATTTTTTACCATTTATTATATCATATCTATCAAATTTTCATACCCTTTCTTATCGCACCGTATTTATTAACTAGGTCCGTACCTAGAGTAGACATATCTTTGTCTTTCAATTTCGGTGGAGCTTTCGAAGACTGACTGGTGGATGTGACTTGTACTTATAATTGAAAGAGAGAAAACATATCTAAAGCCCAAAAAGTAACACAAATATACCAATCATAATGGGCCAACCTCCTTCTACCCATATACCCCAACCCAACTAAACAATCCTAGCCCTCCAGGTTAGACCTCCCTCCCTCTTTACTAGAAGGTTATTCTCATTTAGATGAAACAAGTTTCTTAAATTTCACCTTAAAGGATGCAAGTTTCAAAAACAACAAATAAGAGACAATGCGCTATAATACATGGTCAAACTGAGGTGTTATTAATGTAATTTACTCAAAAGGAAAATTTTAAACTAAAAAAAAAAAAAAAATGAAAAACCTTAGGCCATTTTTTTTAATTTTAATTTTTTTTGGTTTTTATTTTCCTAATATATTTACATTTTATATTTTTTTTAAATATTTTTGAAGCTATTTATGTCATTATGTAATTGTTTATAAGTAAGTATCCCTTGTTTATCATTTATGAAACTAGTGTTCGTTATTGATAATATATATCTTTACTTAAAAAGGGTTAGTCTGTAATAATTTAAATTTTAAAATTAATTTAGTACACTAATTATTATTTGGAAATTGAAGGCAATTGTTCACTTATTTACTATTTTGCCATTTCAAAAACCATTGATTTGCTTGATGACTATTAATTCGTGGCATTTATGAAAATATTGATAATAAGTAAGGCAATTTTGTCTGAAAAATAAAAAAATCGAAGACAAATTCGTCTTCTTATGTAAATTGGGTGTTTTGTAATTATTAACAAAGCATAGGATATTTTCGTCCATATTATCCACTGTTTTGGGATAACATTGGACATAAATTTGGATTACCGAAGTAATATTTTAATATCACCCTCCCCTAGGTAATATTATTCCCGGTAATTTATCCCTAATTTGACACTGTTTGACATTTTTTTTTCTGAAAATGTTTTTTTCCAAAACAACCAAACATGGTTATCTATCCAATTTAAAATATATTATCCTCGTTATATAATATCAAACCGATCCAAACAGTCCCTCAGTGTAAAGAAATTTAGTTAACCTAAATTAAAATATTAATCAAATTATAAAATGTAAAACATAGAACATTTTTATTTTTCGTGTAGGATTATATTATATGCACAAACTCCCCGAAGCCTGATCAATTAAGAGTGTTGAACACTCCAAGGAAGGGGCCCAGTGATGATGTGATCCAATAATAGTAAGAGGACCCATCAACCTCTAGCTAAAGCATTTCTTACTTTGTACTTACGTTTGTAGTCTCTGTACCAAAACCCGCAAAACGTTGAGATCGAGATTCTCAACGCAACAGATAACGCTACTGTCTATAACTCTAAGCAACATTTACACAAACACGTTACAGGCACACAGAAAAACATGTTCACAATCTTTCAAACTTACAACAATTTAATTCTACAAGCTGTACTTTCTCTTTCCCTTACTTTACTTCTCACTTACCTCAAAATCCCGGTTCTTTTCTTGCAAGGTCTTTTCACATATGTTCACCCTGATCATGTTGGTAATAACAATACTCAACAGGGTGTTAGAGCTGCCATTCGAAGACCCTCAAGCTCCGATTCAGGTTCTGGCCTTGATGGGTTCCAGACGTTATCGTCTAAAACAAATGCTGAGCTCAAGAAGAGGAGTAAAGCCAAAGAAAAGTTTGAATTCGATGAAAATAATGCTCAGATCTTTAGATTGAAACTCGATGAAGGTCATCTTCAAACTCGGATTTATTTTAAGGAGTATAATAGTTCGTTTATTTACTCATTTGTTGGATTGTCTTGTTTGTTGCTTTACTTATATTTGGATGGGAATCAAGATTCTGGGGTTTTGGGTAATGGAGTTTTAGTCGTTATTTTTCTGGGGTTTGTTAGTTTCTCCAAAGTGTTTACATCGTTATTAAAATTGTCGTTTGAGAAATCTGCATCGAAGAGGTCAGAGAGGCAACTGAGTTTGATTGTTGGGTTTCTGGGGTTTGTTTTAGGTCTCATGATTTGTTCTGGGATTGTTCCTAAAGTTTTGGATTTTGATTTTGGTTCCATTGATGGGTTTGGGAAGATCTTTGTTGCCGTTTTAATGGGTTGCATTGCGGGTGTTCTTTATATGCCTGCAGGAAAGAGTGCTAGGTCATTTTGGCTCGGAACTGATCAGCTTCGGTGCAATTTGCCTATAATTTATTGTGGGTGGTTTGCTAGAATGATTCTATATGCTAACTATTTGTTGATTGTTTCTACGGCTTTGCTTTGGATTAATCCATTGGCTGAAATTCTTGTCAAGAAGAGGATTAATGATAGTAAAGGAGCAAATGCAACTAGTAATATCAGAGATGCGGAGAATTTGGTTGGGAATGTTGGTTTTTCTCAGGAAGATTTTAACAAGCTTAGGAATTGGTTGTTGTTGTTTTCGGGTATCATTCAAATTGTAGCTTTACGTCCAAACTTGCAGATGTATTTGAATGAAGCCGTTTTGTCTTGGTACCAAAGATTGCATGCTAGCAAGGTCCCAGATTTGGATTTCAGTAGGGCTAAGGTTTTCCTGCACAATCACTACTTGTGTCTTGTGGTTCTGCAGTTTTTCGCACCAGCAATCATGGTACTTCTCTTTCTTGGCATGTCTGTAATTGATGGTAGCTCATTAAAAAATTTCAGATGGGTTTGTGATTTAATTTCTTGCTCCGCATTTGTTAAAGAAGTAGGTTTATTTATGGCTTGGTGGGTTGTCTTTGTTTGGGCTATTTACACTTCAATAAGCCTTTTGTTGTATCGTCATGGCATTTCATATGTTTCTTAACGAATTTGACTTTTTGTATTTGCCTAAATATTTGGCCATTGTATTTTTGTCAAATTTTGAGAAACCGTGTTTGTGCTTCTAAATTCTTGTGGATTCCTATATTTTTAATTGATGCGCTGCAAGCAGAGCAGTAGGGCAACACAATTTACTTTTGGATATGATGGCCCTCCTACATTTAGTTTGTTATACTTTATACTTAGATCTGAATCAACAATGAAGTTCATTTGCATTTTAAATATTTTGGAGTTACAACATTAACTTGGTTAGTTCCTATATTGAAGTTTCATGCTTAGCATTACTGAATTATATTTCTTCTGTCATTTGAGTTGAGTATTTTTTATGTGGTTTGGAGATGAAAAGATCATTGAACTTTTCTCAAGATATGAGCTTTTAGCATTTTATCATGATATGAAGTTTCAGAAAAGTTAGTTTCCGTCCATCTTGAAAAATCAGTGGAAGACTTTCCCTTCTGCCAAAGCACAACTTGAATTATCTCATGAAGTAAGTCCTTGTTTTTCTACCTGGAAGAGTTCACTTGATTTGCAGGATATATACCCTATTAAATTTAGTATAGTCATGCAGAGGCTTTGGACAAGTTCACAATTACACAATAAAGAATTGTTGCTCTCCAGGTACTACAGTTAAGAGCTTGCTAGAGTTTTGCTAGTCGATCTTGTTTGAATGTGGTCATTTGCCACTTTTCAGAGACAGGATTCTAATTTATCATCTATTATATTGTTGCTGATTCCTTCTTTTTTATTATCATCCTCTTGCTGCTTGATTGCCAAGTGAATGTCATTTTTCATCACAGTAGAAAATAAGGATAAGTTATTGAACATTAAGAATCTGATTATTAGTTCTCTAGTGTCCGCAGGCCATCTGAACCCTACTCCTGCTCCCTTAGCCTATTAGTAAACTTTTTCTATATGCTTTGAAGTTTGGACTTTTTGCTAGAAACATTTCTAATTTCTGCTCTTTAATTTCTAAGAAGAATTAGTAACCGATCTCCACTTCAGAGATAACTCGAGTCCCTGTAACTGTAGATAACTGAAAGAACAGAATTAAATCTCCTTACCTCTACTGCATTCTAAGTTTGAGGTGGGTTCCATAACTTACTATCTTTCTTTGTTTCTCATTCCATTTCTCCTTAAGATCATATTTCAGTTTCCAATCTGCCATCAGATTCTTTCTTTCTATCGAATTTTCTTGGATAAGTACATAGTTTCATTCTAGTGGATACAAGAACCATTTTTCATTCGAACCAATAAATTTGCGATTCCAAATGACATGACATTTTACATTATCGTCTTCAGAATCATGAATGCATCTTCAACAAGTTTTACTATAGAGGAAAGGTACACAACCATTAACATTTATTCATGCAGTTGAGGTTGCATAAGATTTAAGGCATAATGGAGTTCTGCAAACGGCATCATAAATTTTTATGGCTTAAAGTCCATGTGTGGTTGCTGTAGAGTGATTATGTTTGGTTGTGAACGATTAATGATATAGCTTTTGCGTGATTGGATCTTGAAAGATTTTCCACCTACATTCCCAGGAGAATCTGTTAATGAGGACAGTTACTCTGGTATAGTCGGCCCTAATTGAGTAATAAATTGGTTTGTAACAGTTAATAGGAATCAACTAGTTTTTACTAAAAATTTATTGCGTTGAATCCAAATCTTTTTTAGTTATGATAAATTCAGTAAATTGTATTCTGTCAAAAAGAGAAATATATATTTTCTAAACTGATCCATGGTTTTAACAAATGATTTTCGAAGACTAATACATTAAAGCTCTGCTACTGAGAAGAGGAAGCAAATTCAAAGCATGTTTACTTAGATTTGTAAAATTTGATGTAAATTGTAAACCTTTACCGTTGTAAAGGTTAGTTTTATGTAAGATTGAACGCAAATTAGTCTTTTTATTTTAAAATGAGTTAACAACTTTAGTCCCTCAAAAATGATAAAATAACAAAAATCCCCTTTAAGCTTTGAAGTAATAGAAATTCTTTTGGATGTTTAGGCCAGTTTGCGTATACTTTAATTAATTACAGTTAATCCTTTGGGGCCTTAGAACTGTCAAATTAGGTAAAAATTCCAATGACTATCCCATTAGTGCCTTGGAAGACTCAAATTCAGGAGCTTATAAAACTTTCATTTAGGATGTGGTAGTTCATATCATTCAGATTATTAACTCTTTCACAATACATTTATGAGTTTTAAAAATATTTTTGAATGATAGAATCAATACCGGACAAAATAAACCGATGGGGTCAAAGAGAATTGGCAGTTTGTTCATGAACGACAACTTATATTTATAGCATTTAGAAGACTTCTTCTCATAACAAGATAAAAGGGTCGTTTTCTTTGTTGTTGTTGTTGTTTATGTAAAATAAAACTAGATAAAATATTTCAACATCTCTGGCTATTATAAGGCAAAATTGGACCCAATGTGAAGAACAATTACTCAACAAAATAAAATTATCGTTTAATGCAAATAGAATCAAACATCAATCTTGTTCTGTCATGGATAAACGTTTAGATTAGTGGGAAAGTCAAGGTGGAGATGGCTTGAAAATGACCAATTCCTTGCTAGGACCGTTGAGTTTAATTAGGGAAATATACAAACAAGTCATATACAACTGTTAGTTGGCTGATCTAATCTAACACTAAAATTTTTATATATTAAATTATTAATATAATGTTTAGGATTTTCCTAGACGTTTCAATATGATATGTCATTATTCACATCATTCTATGTTGAATATTCTACAAGCTACAAGTAATTATAATCTTTATTTTACAAGTCAAAAAAAGGAAATCGAAATACATGAGGAAATATACCAAGAAAAATGTCTTCCAAATGTAATCATTTAACATCATCAATTCATCATGCTCTGTTTCAAATTAAATTATTAAAAGAAACCAAAAAAGTCCCACTACTCAGGCTGCAGCCTGCCCCATTGTTCAGCCTTTTTTTGTGAATAACAATTCCATTTTCTTTTTTCTTAATTTCATAAAAATAAAATTATTTTTATGAAGAAAATCTTATTTCTTGATAATTTCAGAATTTCAAAAAATTAATTAAAGTCTTAGTAATATAAATAAATAAATAAAAAAACATTTGAATGGGTACAGATAAGATATTCACTTATTAAAGATGAAGAGAGGGAGGTGAGTCATCGGTTGCCACGTAAATTAGAAATAGAAAGAAGAAACAAGTAAACGAGGAAGTTTCTCGAAAAGACGTACCTTAGTTTCTCGCTACTTCCATTCCATTCTCTCTTCTCTCTCATACTAACAATAATCAATTCCCTTTTTCTAAAACTGCTTCGTTTTCGTCGTCCTTTCCTTCTCACTCTTATCTTCTCTCCTCCATAAATAACTCCCTCAATACGAACTTTCCAGAATTAACAAATATCTCCCATTTTTTGTTGGTTAACAGTTAATGCTATGGCTCGGGCTCGGGCTCCCCTACCCACCGAGCAAAATGGTGACACGCCTACCGTAGGAGACTCTCAAAGATCTATTCCGACACCATTTTTGACCAAAACCTATCATTTAGTTGATGATCATTCCATTGATGATGTTATTTCTTGGAACGACGACGGATCTTCCTTCGTCGTTTGGAACCCTACCGTTTTTGCTAGAGATTTGCTTCCTAAGTGCTTTAAACATAACAATTTTTCTAGTTTCGTTCGTCAACTTAACACCTACGTAAGTTTCGTTCAATTTTTGTTTTCTTTTAATTCGACAAAGCTTCGGTTATTCTGATTTGTTTATCTGTCCGATTGATAGGGATTCAAAAAAGTTGTACCTGATCGGTGGGAGTTCACGAACGAATGCTTTCGCAGAGGCGAGAAACAGCTTTTACGTGAAATTCAGCGACGAAAGATTTCGACAGCAACGACAACACAGTCACCAGTTAAAGCAGCGGCGGTTCAGGTGGTGAAAACGATGGTATCGCCGTCGAATTCGGCGGAAGAACAAGCCACTTCGTCCAACTCATCACAAGCGCGAACCGTTCAGACGTGTGGACAAGCCTATGCTGAAATAATCGAAGAAAATGAGAAATTGAAGAAGGAAAATGTACAGTTAAATAAACAGCTGACAGAGATGAAGAGTCTCTGCAATAATATATTTACTATGATGTCGAGTTACGCCAGTGCTCAATCGGATAGCGGTTTTCAGGCGATGGATTTGTTACCGACGAAGCGGTTTTCCGGCGAGGAGGTGAGTCCGAGGTTGTTCGGTGTGCCGATCGGTGTAAAACGCTCGAGGGAAAGGGAAGGTGAAGTTGCGGGAACGGAGGAGGATGAGACGCTGTTGAAGTTGCAGCTGCCAGGGGGTCAGGTGGTGAAATCTGAGCCCTTGGATTGTCAGAGAAGTGGTGATGATCACCGTAATCATCAAGACACGCCGTGGCTTAGGCAGAGTCACCGACCTAATCAGAGGGTCTGTAACTGATAATCTTTAGGTTTCACTAGACGCTGATCCGTTGATCAGTGAATCATTGGATTCAGATAACGGCGTTAACTTATGCCTGTAATCTGTAGAGGAACAGACTCGTGGGTGCTGTGTCACGTGATTTGTGGAATAGCTACCATTTTTTTTTTTTCTTTTTTTTTAATATTTGGTTTTTATTTAGGCAAGGAACTTTAGCGGGGGAAAAAAAAAAGAATATGGAAATCTTAAGTTGATTCACGTGTTCTAATGAAGGATATTAAAATCGTCTTTCATTTGTGTATTTTTATTTTTCTTTTTCAAAATATAATTAAATTATTTATCCAAATATGACGTGACATTAAAGGAAAGTTGGGAGTTGATATTTTGATGGAATTCAATTCTCGAAGAAAAGGGAAAAAAGTAGTTGGGTGAAATGCATGAAGGTTTGTCAAAGTTCATGAACCAACTTGGACCTTTCCTTTCATATGTTAATGTTCAAGTGGATAAATTATGTCATTTTAAATGTGTGAAATTAGGTATAAACTTTGCAAACTCAATGATTGTATAGAGTGTTGATTTTGGGTTTTTGTAAAAGGAAGAGTGTCGAACTTTCCGCCGTTTTAGAATTTTCTAAATACAAAGCAATGGGGGATTAGTCTATTCTTTGGCCATTATCATGTTTAGCATTACCTGGCGGTCTTGTTTCATCGTTTTTCATGGATTTCTCATGCTAAAGTCTTTTCTTTCCTCTTACAAAAGAGCATATAATAATGCATGTAAGTTAAAGTTTAGCTATAAAGTAAGGATAGACATGATGTATTGCAGGTTTCAAGTTGCGTTTGCTTGGTTAAAACGTGTTAAAGGTCAAGATTTGCGGCTGGAATCTGGACAGGATGATATTTTTAAAAGAGAGATTTTTTATTTGCGCTACTAAAATAATGGCACTTTTTTTTCCTCATGTGGCGTCTGTCTCTGTGTGAGAGTCGTTTCTATCCAAACTGTTGAACATTCGATAATGGAGTAGAAAAATGGGTAGAAGCTTGTTTTAATTTGATTGTATTCAAGTCCAGCCCGCCATCAGCAATCAGTAAGAACTAAGAACACAACACACTTGAAACTGAATTCTCAACTCTTCTTATTGGTCAAATAAAAATACTAGTCTGTNTCCCTTTTTCTAAAACTGCTTCGTTTTCGTCGTCCTTTCCTTCTCTCTTATCTTGTCTCCTCCATAAATAATTCCCTCGTTACGAACTTTCCAGAATTATTATAACCAGAACCCAAACCCATCAAAACAAATATCTCCCATTTTTTGTTGGTTAACAGTTAATGCTATGGCTCGGGCTCGGGCTCCCCTACCCACCGAGCAAAATGGTGACACGCCTACCGTAGGAGACTCTCAAAGATCTATTCCGACACCCTTTTTGACCAAAACCTATCATTTAGTTGATGATCATTCCCTTGATGATGTTATTTCTTGGAACGACGACGGATCTTCCTTCGTCGTTTGGAACCCTACCGTTTTTGCTAGAGATTTGCTTCCTAAGTGCTTTAAACATAACAATTTTTCTAGTTTCGTTCGTCAACTTAACACCTACGTAAGTTTCGTTCAATTTTTGTTTTCTTTTAATTCGACAAAGCTTCGGTTATTCTGATTTGTTTATCTGTCCGATTGATAGGGATTCAAAAAAGTTGTACCTGATCGGTGGGAGTTCACGAACGAATGCTTTCGCAGAGGCGAGAAACAGCTTTTACGTGAAATTCAGCGACGAAAGATTTCGACAGCAACGACAACACAGTCACCAGTTAAAGCAGCGGCGGTTCAGGTGGTGAAAACGATGGTATCGCCGTCGAATTCGGCGGAAGAACAAGCCACTTCGTCCAACTCATCACAAGCGCGAACCGTTCAGACGTGTGGACAAGCCTATGCTGAAATAATCGAAGAAAATGAGAAATTGAAGAAGGAAAATGTACAGTTAAATAAACAGCTGACAGAGATGAAGAGTCTCTGCAATAATATATTTACTATGATGTCGAGTTACGCCAGTGCTCAATCGGATAGCGGTTTTCAGGCGATGGATTTGTTACCGACGAAGCGGTTTTCCGGCGAGGAGGTGAGTCCGAGGTTGTTCGGTGTGCCGATCGGTGTAAAACGCTCGAGGGAAAGGGAAGGTGAAGTTGCGGGAACGGAGGAGGATGAGACGCTGTTGAAGTTGCAGCTGCCAGGGGGTCAGGTGGTGAAATCTGAGCCCTTGGATTGTCAGAGAAGTGGTGATGATCACCGTAATCATCAAGACACGCCGTGGCTTAGGCAGAGTCACCGACCTAATCAGAGGGTCTGTAACTGATAATCTTTAGGTTTCACTAGACGCTGATCCGTTGATCAGTGAATCATTGGATTCAGATAACGGCGTTAACTTATGCCTGTAATCTGTAGAGGAACAGACTCGTGGGTGCTGTGTCACGTGATTTGTGGAATAGCTACCATTTTTTTTTTTTCTTTTTTTTTAATATTTGGTTTTTATTTAGGCAAGGAACTTTAGCGGGGGAAAAAAAAAAGAATATGGAAATCTTAAGTTGATTCACGTGTTCTAATGAAGGATATTAAAATCGTCTTTCATTTGTGTATTTTTATTTTTCTTTTTCAAAATATAATTAAATTATTTATCCAAATATGACGTGACATTAGAGGAAAGTTAGGAGTTGATATTTTGATGGAATTCAATTCTGGAAGAAAAGGGAAAAAAGTAGTTGGGTGAAATGTATGAAGGTTTGTCAAAGTTCATGTACCAACTTAGGCCTTTCCTTTCATAGTTTCATATGTTAATGTTCAAGTGGATAAATTATGTCATTTAAAATGTGTGAAATTGGGTATAAACTGTGCAAACTCAATGATTGTATAGAGAGTGCTGATTTTGGGTTTTTGGAAAAGGAAGAGTGTGGAACTTTCCGCCCTTTAGAATTTTCTAAATGGATGGCAATAGGGGATTAGTCTATTCTTTGACCATTATCATGTTTAGCAGTACCTGGCGGTCTTGTTTCATCGTTTTTCATGGATTTCTCATGCTAAAAGTCTTTCTTTCCTCTTACAAAACAACATATAATAATGCATGTAAGTTAAAAGCTTAGCTATAAAGTGAGGATAGACATGATGTATTGCAGGTTCCAAGTTGCGTTTGCTTGGTTAAAACGTGTTAAAGGTCAAGATTTGCGGCTGGAATCTGGACGCAGGATGATATTTTTAAAAGAGAGATTTTTTATTTGCTTTGCTAACGCTACTAAAATAATGGCACTTTCTTTTCCTTATGTGGCGTCTGTCTCTGAGTGATAGTCGTTGCCATCCAAACTGTTGAACATTCGATAATGGAGTAGAAAAATGGGCAAAGCTTGTTTTATTTTGATTGTATTCAAGTCCAGCCCGCCATCAGCAATCAGTAAGAACTAAGAACACAACACACTTGAAACTGAATTCTCAACTCTTCTTATTGGTCAAATAAAAATACTAGTCAGTCCTTTTTTATGACCTACCTTACTATCTTTTAAAAGTCAAATAAATTAGGATAAGAATTTGGAATATTTTCTCTTTTAGATAGTTAACTCAAATTGAAAAAAACATAAAAGGGCAATCATGGTAATAGCCATGGTCGTAGTTCAATTATTGGAGTGGGATCACAGGGCAAAACAGGGATGCGTGGCGAGCTTTAACAGAGTGATTCCACTACTCTTACCATTAATAACATATAAAATAAAAATATAGATCATCAGAAAGGGATTGAGAAACTATCATAATTTCCAGAATAATATAAAAAATAAGCAACAGAACTTCCTGGTCCTGGACTGATGACCAGTGGCAACCCAGGATTTTTGCCCAGGGGAGGCCTCCGTGGCTCCGCTATTGTTTATCAAACAACTAGTGAAGAATTTAAAAAAATCACCAAACCTTGAGCAAAAGAAATAATATAATATCAATAATTTGAAAGAAAATAATACAACAATACAATACTTTACTACTTGAATAAATCTATGAGAGACAAAACCTTGAGCAAATTATATTGAAAATAACATTCAATTCATGAGGAAACACAAGAAATTTTTTACGTGGAAAAACCTTTTCAATTAAAGAGAGCAAAAGACCACAGTAATCTAGCGATCAACTTAAATCCAATATAATTAAAAGAGTTTATAACAATCACAATCCACCAAAAAATTCTACGCAAATTTTGTATTTATCCTCTTTTTTTTTTTCTTTAAAATATTATAATATAAATTTTCATGACTTTGATCAGGCCTAGCCTAAGCTAAATTCAACCAAAACTTAAATTAAGTCAATGTTGTCTTGACNTACGTCCACTGATGTATATTGATATGGTGGGTCAGGTCGCTAAAGCGGACTGACTTACAAATGATTGAACAGTAATTACCAAGCTTTTAGAGAGGGAGAATTCGAATATAAAAATGATCGAATTCCCCTAATGAAGGGGTCTTCCTCCTCTTATACCCAGTTGAATGCGTGTAATCATCATTAAATCCTTGGGTTGGTGTGAATGTCAGGACCTAATCTGATTTTACGTCCCATTGCCCATTTCCCAAGTTGATTTCACGCGATTTGGAGCAGAGGAGCGGACACGTGGGAGCTCCAGGGTGCTTGGCAGGCTTGACGTGCGCTTACTGTTCTGACGGGAGCAGGCCACATTTCGCCACGCGACCCCACGTCAGCCCTCGGTTTCCCAGGCATAACAGAAGTCTCCTAGTTTTTAAGGTTTGAGGATCGAACCTTGGAAACTAAGTCATGCCGCGATTTGAGGTCCTAGTAGTTTCGATCTGAATGGAAGGAGCTCGGGACAGGACCTTTTGCGAACACGACCTCGCACAAGTCTTACCCAAACAACCTGGCAATCATCATTTTAGCGACCTGGATTAGTCGGACGCTCTTTTCCGTGCCTTGGAGAGATTCAATGAACCTGCATACACGCTGTCAGACACTCTGCACGTGCTGCAGTGTGTCAGGTGCATTAAATGCGTGGTGTGCTGACTAGATGTCGTTTTGACAGCCTTAACTGCGCGACGCATATGAAACGACGACCCTCATTACGGCATTTAATGCGACGTGGGGCGCATTAAATGCGGGGAGAGAGAGAAGGCTGTCGTTTCGGTTCCGAGAGGTAGTAACTGTCGATTCGCAGTCCATATAAAAGCTCACATTTTTCAGATGAGGCTACCAAAATCCCTTTTGCTTCGAGTGACAAGCCTTTGCAAACCGGAAGTTCTTCTTTTCCGATTGGCGCTTCTTAGACATCTGAGACAAGATTCGGCCTTGGTCACGCGTCCCAGAAGGTAGAATCCTTTTTCTCCTTCCTCTTTCTCTTTTTTTTTTTTTTTGTTTGTTTGACTGGTGGGCAACGGCGTTGGGTCTCCTAGTGTTTCACTAGAGGCGCGCCGTCGTCGCCGGACTCGAGCCGTGGGTGGCGGCTCGAGTTACTGTTAGGGTTTAAGGGATTTGTCCCATGCCGCCACACGGGACAAAATGCGAAGGCTAAAATGACCGTGTCTGTCAGTGTTGCAGACTCTGGAATGGAACCGTCAACGTCTAGACCCAAGGAAGCGGCCAGCTCGTCCTCGCGGGATGTTTCCGAGGACGCATCCCTTGATGTCTTCTCGGTTCTCACCCGTGAGGAGTTTGATAGGATAAAAAAGCAGTTTGACGTCCGCGTAGAGGTGTTCCTCGACCACACCAGGCCGTCACGGCGTCCTTCCGATGGCCTCGCTGCGATCTCCGAAGAGATCTTCAAAGGTGGAGGGATGATTCCCTTCCATCCTTTCATCAGGTCGGTCCTGGATCACTTCGGGATCACATCGATGCAATTGACGCCAAACGCGTATGTCATTGCCGTCGCGATGTACATCACGTGCTGCGAGAATAGCCTGGGCGAGCCAACGGCGGTGGAGCTCGGTATCGCCTATTATCTTAAAAAGAGTAGGGACAAGGATTCATATTACTTGTCCCGGCGACCTACCATCGCCGAGGGGATATATAGCTATCCCAGCAATGCGGGGGCCTACGAAACAAAATTCTTCTTTTTCTGCTACGACGGCCACTGCCGCTTTCAGAAACCAAGTAGGTTCTTCTTCGCTAGGTTTATTGTCTGTTTGCACGCTTGATAATAACGGCCTGCTTTCTTTTGCAGTTAATAGAACAACCAGCCAAGACCTGCTCGATGACCCGGATAGGCTCGTGTCTTTTGGAGTGCTAGACGAGGAAAGCCGGGACGCAAGGAAGCTCGTGACAACCGCGAACTTGCGGAAGTACGGTTTTATCAGCAACAACGCGTCTTTAGAACCCTTGGAAGGTAAGTCATATTAATTTCCTTCTGGTCGCAGAATAATTTTGTTTACTAACGTACTTGCATGCAACAACTATGCCTCCGAAGGAGTCCGAGCAGCCTTGCCGAGCACCGTTCGTCTTCCCTCGATTGAGGAGGGAGAGAGCGGCCGAAGCTACTCGTCCCATTCCGGCACAGCCGGTGCGAACAGCCGCGCCTTCCCAGTCCCGTCCTGTGCCAGAAGCGACCAGGACAAAATAGATCGCTCAGGCACCATCTGCTCGCCCATGGCGGAAGGCTCCAGCCCAAAGGTCAAAGAAGAGGAAGCAGATTCAGGTCGACGAGTCAGAGACCGAATCTGAGGAAGAACCTTTGAGGTCGCGGCAAGAATCAAGGAGGTCGGGAAAGGAACCCGCGAGCGAGGCGATCGCTGCCGACAAGGCAAAGGACGCACCAGTGTTGGACTCATTGGGGAGTCTGCCCGAATATCTACAGTCGATAGTCTATGGTTTTCTCGAATGTGGGCTATCGGAGTCGTATGACGAGTTCATCGATACGGGCGACGACTTGATGACCACGTTGTTCCAGCATCTAAGCAAGGTAAACGAGCTGCTCTTAAAGTTTGCTGTCTATTTTACTTTATTCTAACTTCACTTCTTGCTCGCAGGCTTTGCTTGCGATGAGGATGTCTATGGAGAAGACTCGGCTGGGGGCCGCAAAGGGGGAAAGCGACCTAAAGGAGGAGGTCGCGAAGCTGAAGCAGAGCCTGGAGTCCGTCGAAGCGGAAAGAACACAAGCATTCGAAGCGGCGAACAAGTATCTGAACCAGAAGGATGCTGTTTTGCGAACAGTGGACTTCCAAAAGACGGAGCTTGAGCGACGCGTGGAGGAAGTGAGGGAGCTTCAGAGGACAACTGCTAGGCTCTCCAAGGAGGTCGGAAAGAAGGACCAGCAGCTCCAAACGACCTCCTCATGGGCTCGGTGAGCTGAACAAGAAAGGGAGGCTTCCGAGAAGGAAAGGCTAGCTCTCGAGGTCGAGCTCCAGGAGAGTCTGGAAAGGATCGCTTCACTGTCTGAAGAAATGCGAATCCAGGCAGAGGAGACCGAGGACAAGGCCGTCGACTGGGCAATCGGGTCCATCTATTCCCTTTGATCAAAGAACCCAAATCTGGATATTTCCGACCTCCCAGAGGGGTGGCAAGAAACCTTGCGGGTTCTGGCGGAGGAAGATGACCAAGCGGCAGCGGCCACCCGACAATCTGACCAGGCAGGGAGTTCTGGTCCTGCTTCAAAGGATCCCCCCGACCAGCCATAGTGTAATGAGTCTTTGACTCCATATGAGATTGGGTCTTA